CCGATGCCGCCAACGGATTCCCCCGGTGCAGACCCCCCCGGGCAACTCTGGACGCCCACGGTGCAACCCCCTGTGTAATCCCTTCGAGCCCGCGGTGCAGCCCCAGCACAGCATTCCAATGAGCAGAGCCCCAATGCAGCCTCGGACACCTCCATGCAGATTCCCCCAAGCAGCCTTCACATAGTTCCAGCGCAGCCCCTGGACATTCCCAGTTCAGCTCTCACCCCACCCTTGACGCAGCCGTCCCCATAATCCCAGTGCAGTTCCCCCATGATCCCAGTGAAGCCCCTGCACAGCCCCCCCCAGTACAGCCCCCCCAGCCCCTGCACAGCCCCTGGGACCAGAGTGCCCACTCAGTGACCACAGGAGCACCCAGGTCCCCACGGCGTGTCCGAGCAGGGGCTCTGGGCACCCAAAGAATGGGACACTCGGGAATGGGGGTGTTTGTTTGTACCAGGGGACCAGGGCTTGGGCTGAGCATCCCCTGGGGGTCACAGGGTCCTGCACTGGGAAGCAGGGGGTGGGATTCACCTTCTGACCCGCAGCAGGACGCAGGTGCACACAGGTACACAGAGCCATTTCCCTCCCACCTTCCCGATCCGTGCAGGCAGCGCGCACGGAGCTGGGTCGGATGTTGTTTGTTTTGTGCTGTGAACTCATGAACTCACAGGCAGAGCCTGGCCAGCCCCATGTGCCGCATCCACAAATAAACAAACACACTGGGAGAAGCAGGGAAGCCAAACCCAGAGGCAGCCCCACAACCCCCAGATGTGTGCAGGCATCCTTTGCGTGCAGCAGTGCTGAGGGGGGTCTCTGTGCCCTCATCCCCGTGCCCCCAGAGCCTTGCTCCTGCCCCAGCTGTCTCTGTGCTGCAGTCAAGATTGCAAACCAAGCAACTTGTCCCAGGGCATGGGAATGTCCCACCTGAAATCCAGCCAGGCCCTGAGCCCAGGACAGGTTGAAGCCCTTAACCTGTTTGTGAGTGTTACCCGCAAGCTGTGGCTGCAGGAGGGTGCTCAGGGCTCTGCCCAGAGAGCACTGCCAACAGAAACAGCCTGTGTGACTGATGCTTCCTCACAGGGTTGTGGGAGCCAACCCTGCTCAGCGAGGCCGTGGTGCCTGCAACAGTGGGGAGCAAAATCTTGGAGCATGGAGAATTAATGCTGGGGTACCAGCTGAATCAGGCACAGAGGTATCATCCCACTGGACTCCTGGGTCTCCCACCCACCTCCTCTGAGCTGCTGGAGGCCATGGCTCTTTTACAGCTCCCAAACAGGGGGACATGGAGGGATGGCTGCCAGCCTTTGGCTGAAAGCTTGGGAAAGAGGAAGAGGAGGGAGGGTCAACAAGGGGTTAACAGGAAGGAGGTGACATGGTGGTCATCTGTGTCTCTCATCACAGGGCACCTCTCCACCAGCCCCCCAGGCTCATCCCATCCCATGCCAGCCCCACTATTATCCCAGTGCTTCCTGCTGTAAACTATTTCCAGAGCAAGTGTGAAACAATTAAACAAACCGAAGGGCAGAGTCTGCTCAGCAGATCAAAGGCGCGAGCCCTGCAGCGGTACCTCGCTCCCGCGGCTCCCTCCTTCCCTGCTCCTCCTCACTTGGGCTCTAAAACAGTGCCCTGACCCAGGCTGGGATGTGGGGGTTCTGTGTGGAGCATGGTGCCACTTGGGATTTGGGTGCCACTGGAAGCTCAAGACCTGTTTGAAACCTGAAGTTGTCCCAGGGAGATGCTGCTTGGCTCACTCCGTCACAGTAGAGAAGGGACAAGGCTGGGCCTTTGATGTGTTTCAAGAACAAATAAGAGATGCCAAAGGACATGGGGCTGTAATGTTCCTTCTTCTACCGTCATTTTCTACCCTTGGCAGGGAATAATGGAATTATGGAATGGTTTGAGCTGGAATGGACCTTAAAGCTCATCCAGTTCCCTGCCATGGGCAAGGACACCTTTCACTAGACCAGGTTGCTCAAAACCCTGTCCAACCTGGCCTTGGATACTTACCAGAAGTGAATGTCCCCCTGTTTTATCCTCCCTGCAGACATGAGTAGGATGTGGCCCCTGCCCCCACCCTGGCTGTGCCACCATGACTGTGGCACCATTTTCAGCCTCACATGGAGATGAGGCAGCAGCGAGGACAGCCTGAGGCTTCCACCCTTGGGGCATCCTTGGAGATGGAGACTTTGTTGTCTTTCTCCATTTTCTCCCTTTCTCCCTCCCCGTCAGAGCCCAGGGAGCAGGGAGCATCTCAGCTCTACCTGCCTGGAAATATCGGCTGTAGCTTTGCCCGGGCTTGTTCCCCATGTGCAGAAAGCACCACATGTTCAGCTCAGCTGTGCTCTGGGCTTGATCCCTGAAACTGAGGAGAGACCCTCCTGCCCCACTAGATTATCCTGGGCATGCCTGGGCACATGGGGTTGTTGGGGTCCCTGCCATGCCTGTGTCATGTGGGGATGGAGAGGTGGTGGTGCTGGCGGACACGCAGTGCGGCGGGATGTGGTGGCAGGACCAGGTGGAAGGATAACTGTGCGTCCCAGGCACTGGCTGCTCTTGGAGTGCTGGACCCCCATGGGCCTGGGGCTAAAAGAGCACATGGGAAGCCATAAGTGAGCCCTGGCCCTGGTTTTCCTCCGTGGTTGGGAGGGTCTGTGTGTCCAGGGACACGGCTGTGGATAAACACAGACAGACCCGGGCGTGCGGCTGCGCAGCCGCGTCGCCTCATCCCCTGAGCACAGAAGGTCAAATACATCTATTTAT